TTATCGGGGAGGGTAAATTAATATAATAGCCATATTTGTCATTATTTGTAGTTAATTTATTCCTTTTTGGAGGTTTACTGTGCAATTGTAGTGGAAACATCAGGTGCAGTATGTGGGGAACGACCCTTGAAACTTAGGTTGCTCTTGTATTGACCCTCCCCTGTTCTCTCGGCGCTTGCTTTGTTTGATAAAGGAATTCGGGTATCCATTAACTCAGAAGAGTGCGTAAATACGCTGCCCCCTAAACGGGCCGCGAAGTAGATGCCCTGAGCCAACGCGGGGACCGGATCAGGAGATTGTAAGCGTTAATCCGGTTGCGCTACCCCAACGAATGCCGGACATGGGGTGGGCTGGAGGGCGGGGAGAGGGATATGGGACGCTGGAAGCACATGTGAATGCAGACGCCAGATACCTGTGGGGCTGAAACCAGACTTGACGGCTTCGGCCACCTGTACCGGATGCGGGATCCACTCTTTTTGACATTGTCTTGAAACCAGGCTCGAGCGATTGACCGAGTGAGGGTAGAGAGGGAAAGAGAGGCATGTAAGACACCATCCCTGCATCACCATGCTGTGGATTACACGGTGGGCATATTCAGATGCGATGGTCGAACTTGCGACAGTCTACGGCCGTTTGCTGGTGCCTGAAAAGCAACATGGAGCGTGGGATATGCACTCACAAGTATGAGCAAGAGATAAACCGGATATTGATCATTGATTAGTTGTCAAATACGCTGAGTCTAAGTGACGCGCCGTTTATTCCATTCGATATGGGCGCTGGCGTGGCTGTCAGAGATGTGGTCCTTACTAATCAGTAACGCCGAAAGGTAAGAGGCTAAACACGGACTATTGTCTGAGACATTTTTAATCTCCACACAATGCAATAAGTGGGCTAACTCATGAAATACAAGGAGTTTTAGAATAAGCCCCCTGTTACGCAAAGGTGGCCCACGTTGCGTCCTTCAAAGTCTTACAGCAGTAAAGTAATGATTGTTCTTCATAGTAAGGGATATGGCGATTTATGAAGTCATATTACCTTGGTTAGAAAGACCAGCGTTTTTATAGAATACGACAATTCCGAAAATGTGGATATCGGGCGTACTAGGTAAACTTAAGGCTTACCTTTAGAGAAAGCCTGTTCATCAAAAACGAATAAATGGAGCGGCTCAAGTAAAAGTTCGTTTGAAATAATCCTTTTGAAAAAATGTTCGGATATATACGATTCCATCTTATGTGCAACGTAACATGGAACTGTTACCGAACAGCACAAAGTTCATGTAAATATTTCAATATGGTTTCACGAGAATGACTAGTGGTTTTGTAAATCGCTGGACTCGCGGTGGACGAGGGCAACCGGGTTTTGGGTTGACTACGCCGATTGGAAGGTCACAGGAGTAAGATATCTCGTGAGCCCACGTGCGGAAATGCCGGTCAGTGACTAATAAATGTAAATGAAATTTTAAGGTGCAATGATAAATGTGAAATTGTATGCACACTAGGATAAATTTCCTTCCGTCACAGTTCTTTGTAATTATTTTGGGATTTCACTTACAACGAGGTTCACATCGTCCTCTAAATGGTTGGTTCCACTTTACAATTTACCGTGGTTTCAGTCTTTGACCCCATAAACAGGGATTGGGTTCTAAATGCTTATTAAACCCTTCAAAATAAGATATTTATTAAGCACATTTACCTAAAAAGTGAGCTAAGGCCCATTATTTTGTAATACAGCTGAATTTTTGGCTCGTGGTTTTATAATCACCCACACCTGTGATCGCATTTCCGAGAAAAATGGAAACGTCCACAACAAAACTCAGATAGTAATATGCCAAAGATCAATTAAAATGCTTTCTATAACACGATACCGCTAGAAGTGGTGCTTTAACTAGATATTTCGGCGTAAAGTAGCTGAATCATCTACCTTGTTCGAAAATTAGGTCAATATATAAAGACAAGTCTTAGGGGCCTTAGGGGCATTTTTCAGTGGACAAGCAATAAAGCCGCTCACAAAAATGTTCATGTCAAATTTCCGCTCCGAATTCTTCAAGCACATCGAAGTACAGTATGCGCCAGAATTCGTGCAACGCGCCGACCTATGCGAAAGATTGCTGTTCCTTTGCTAATGAGCAGGGACTCAGGTTGTGATACTGATTACCGTGTAGTCCATTTTGAAGTTATTTCAGTCATGATAGGGTGTCCACTTCTGAATGAGCTTATTTCTGTCCCCTAACAAAACGCATGCGTTGTAAAAAGTAACTACTTAAATAGTATGGGTATTATCACTGATTTTGACTGCCTTTATAAATTCAAATATATTTTATGGAAAACTTACACGAAAAAATTATTTCTTATACTCGTTTGGGTAGCAAATTCCACCTTCTTTAAATGTTATACTTCAAGATAGGGTATCAATCGATGTTAAAAAATGTCTAATTATGAATTTTTTTACTATTGTGAGGTGTTTGTGCATTGAACACGATATCCTTCAATGTATTAGTGCTGCATATACAGTATGAAGCATGTTCCACATCTATTGCAACATTTTAAGAGTACTATGTGACTTCTTCCTCAAAATGTAGGCGAAAACGTACTTTTCCTTAAACAAAATGTACACAGTGCGCAGTTTGAAAACCTCGAATTAAGGTGTACGAATCAGACGGTTTCGAAATTACTTGGAAATTTAAAAACATTTTTAAGACCAAAAGATACTCTTTGTTTAAGTAAAGAATTTAAAAAAGGCGTAATTTTTCTACTAACCGAGTACAAGAAGTAATCTTTTGCATATGTTTTTCATAAAATATATTTAAATTTATAAAGAAAGTCAAAATGAGGGAAAAAAACATACTATTTACGTAATCACTTTTTACAATGCACACGTTTTATTAGTGGTCAAAAAGAAGTTCATATAAAAGCTCGCATCCTATCATTACTGAAATAATTTTAAAGTAGATGTCCCGGTAATCAGTATCACGAACTGAGTCACTGCCCTTTAGCGAAAGAGTATCAATCTTTCGCAAATGTCAGAGTGTTGCACGAATTCTGGCGCGTACTGTTATCTTCCAGAATCAGTCACGGCGGCAAGGTCCCTACAAATCTTCAAGAAATGTTGGGATAATTGTATGCGTCCTCTGTTGTCTCCCTACAATCTGAACTCGAACTACTAATAATGCCTAAATTCGAGGTATCGGGTAAGTATGAATACTACTCTAAAAGTATAATTTTGCTACTAATAGGGATCTCAAAGGCGCTCAGCAATCTTCCCCTTTAATTAAACTGAACTGAATGCTTGAGCGTCCCCTGATTTGCAAAAAAACAGCAGCATTTTCTGACGCCTAATGAATACCTGCGCACAGTTCAGGGATTGCATAGAAGGAAATACCTGTTCACTGCATTCAAGAATTAAAAACTACCCCCTGATCACAGCCGAGGAAAAAACGCCATCTATTCTTGTGCAAGTGATCCTCTATTTTAGATCTTTGGAGGGAAAGAAAGGCGACCTGCAACGATCAGTTCTGAGCCGGTGGTGTGTGCAAGCAATTCTTGCTCTTACATGAACATCCCGAAACGTGATCTAAAAAGGGTTCACCTTTCTAACTCGCCGTGCAAAGTAGCTGTCATTCTAGGTTTAGGCCTGTTCATGCCTGATCGTGGAGGTCAGCTTTCTGCGGAAACGAGCGTCCTCGTGTTTCTTTCTGAACTATAAAAGCATTTCAAAAGATAGTGCTTAAAAAATCATCAGCCTGAACATGTATTGCGCGATTTTTGTGGCATTAGTCGTCTGTGCAGCAGGAAATGTGTTTGCCTGTAAGTCCCAGCTTAATCCCCTTAACTATTTTTAAAGTTAACCCTGTATGTATTCCCTTTATTAATTACCTACAAAGTGCTCAGAGACATCTCACTTAAGTAGGAATTTAAAGAAAATTCACTTCTGCATGACCTGGAAATGGCAGAGGAAAGCCATTCATCCATCACGCGTCAAATAATCCAGTCCCGATTGACCAGCTACGAATAATTAACCTGCCATGTTTGAAGAGATTAAGCTGTCGACTCGTGCCTAGATAAACATATATATTATAAAGAAATAAAACGAATATTCTGTGAACTTCAATGCAACGTTCTAATTTCAGCATGTCCTAAAGATGCCAAACAAGGTCCGGTCACGATTCCTGCGTTGAAAAATGCTATTCTGCGTGTGTTGATATATTTTCTTGCCTTGACTTGTCAAGCAAAATAGTCATATTTAATATGATATTAAACGGAAAAAAACTATTTGTACTTCAACAAACTTAACGTCAACATTCAGAGAAAACGCGAGCCCCATGTGTCATTCTAAGTTCTATGAGCATCTCAATAGACGAGGCTTTAAGGTACTCAGCTACACTGTGAACAGTTTAGTGCTTCAACGTAAAAACAGTAGGCTCGTGTTCAGATTTATATATTGACATGTATCTGCCTCCATCCAATTTAAATTGTAAACGGTCTAATTTTGCAATTCCTGCAGACGACCAACAACATCGTCATTGATGCTTGTTTCTTAAAATAAACGCGATTTCTTAAACCTGGCTTCACTTCCGTTTGAACAATTTCGGACAAATGCTCGAGGTCCGGAAGGGCTAATTTTTCCACTTTTTTGCTTATTCTGCAATTTTTCATAGTACAATGCACACAAATGAAAAGTTTCTTTCTGTCTTATCTTCTAGCATAGGAAATTTCTTCGATATACACTTACCCATGATTAAGACAAAAGTAGTGACATTTTTGCTTTAAACATGCGGGCAGTTCCCAAACTAAAGCCTTTCTAAATATTAAATCCACTCACTTAAACAAAATAACCTGTCAAACTATGCGCTAAGCTTCCAAGTTAAATTTCGTCATGAAAGTTGCATGCAGAACTTGCCATACCGTATATACGCATCAACTAAAAATAAAAAGGCCAACATTTATTCAAAATGAATGTCAAAGTGTTCATTTCAGCAGATCCTGAAGATATCCAAAAACATCCGGCCATCCCGCCTGCGTTGAATAATATTGCCCTGCGTGAGTAAACCTATTTTCTTTCACTTACTTGTCAAGAAGTATAAGCCATTTTTGTAAACCAACGAAAATATTTCTGTGCCTTATTTTTTGGTGTTGTAGAAGACAGCGAGATCTGCAAACTGCCCGCCGAAAGAGGACGATGCAAAGGCGTCGAACTTCGGTTCTACTTTGATGCAAGTGACGCCACCTGCAAGTCATTCACCTACGGCGGATGCCGTGGGAACGAGAACAATTTTGAATCCGAGGCGGAGTGTTTGGCTAAATGCAGCAGTTCAGGTATGGTTCGTTTTTTGGCATGAACAAACTATAGCTATTGAACAAATTTAAGGCCATCTTTCAGAGGAAAAGCGAGCCCACATGTGCCTTGCTCAGTTATGTGAGCACGTCAAGGCTTTAAGGCACTCATCTATACTGTAGGCAGTTTAGTGACACAACGAAAAAACAGTGGACGCGTGTTGAGATGCATATATTTTGAAATACAACTACCTAATTTAAATATAAATTGTCAACCATTCAATTTTGCAATTCATGTAGACGGCCAACAACGTCCAGTCGGTCTTCCCGCACCAATAGACGATTCACTACATTGTACGCTGACGTGTATTATTTGATGATTTAATGCAGTTGGCACATACTGTGAACAGCGCAGTGACTCAACGAAAAGCAGTAGTCTTGAGTTTAGGTATAAATTTTCAAAATGCAACGGCCTCTTGTAAAATTAATTAGCAAAATATGACTTTGCGTATCCTTTAGACCACCAAGAACACCAGGTCACTCTTCCTGCACCAATTAAGAGTTCAGGGGAATGTGCGTTAGCGTATTATTCATCTCCTAAATTGTGGTCTTCTCTGATGATATAATGCAGATTACTCATGCTACGCCTTATATAACACTACATACACATATAGTTCTGGTAAAGTACAAAAAGAAAAACAATCATTTAACTGGATAAATGTGCAATTGTTTACTACAGCGGACCCCGCAGACGCCCAGGAACAGCCAATCACACTTCCCGCACCGATAGACAATTCAGGGGAATGTACGTTAGCGCACTATACTTCTCCTAACTTGTGGTTTTGTCTGATGACTTCATGCAGATTACTCATGCTACGCCTTATATAACACTACAGACATATATAGTTCTGGTAAAGAACGAAAAGAATGACAAACATTTCATTGGAT